CGGCATCGCTGTCGCTACTGTCGCTGTCGCTGGTTGCGCCAGTGGACGACGCGGCGTCGGCTCTACCGCTGAATGCGTCCTCCAGAGTCGACGCGGACGTGCGACCGTGAGAAATGTTGGACATCTCGCCCAGCCGCATGAGCTGAATGGCGACATCCTTGTCTTCCTCCGACATGCAGCTTCCGACGGTGGGGTCGGGAGTTGGGAGGATGCCCATGCCATGTGCCATGCTATGGCTGCCATAGGAGATGCTGTGCCGACCGCGACGGTCGCTGGAGACAGGGGTCGAGTACAGGCCCATCTGGCCCTGCGCACTACCGTAGCTCTGCGGCGACTGCAGCGGTCGGGGGTGTACAAAAGGGTTCTGACTGGTCTGGACGTACGAGAGAGAGTGTCGGTGATGCTCAATACGTCTCGCGGGAGAAACGGATGGATTTGAAGTGGCGGCCGGCATTTGAGGTGGTGCGAAAAGCGGCAGTTCCTGCGGCGAAAAATCAGTGTTAGCAAATTGCGAGCAATTAATGCAATGGGGTCATGATGATGATGATGATGATGATGATGATGATGATGATGGTGCGCCAGGCTTACAGAGCTTTCAAACTTGGCCCTCTTTCGTCGGCCGCCCTCGACAATGTTCTCAACGCTGATGTCGGTGGTGCCGAGCTGCTCCTTAGCTCGGGCAGACGTGGTGCTCGGGGCGCCGTCGCCGCTGCTGTAGCCGTTCATGCTTTCGGCGTAGGCGTCAGCGTGGCCTTGGAGCGCCCGGCTCTTGGTGGAGCGAGAGCGACCCTTTTTGCCATTGGAGCTGGTCGAGTCGCTTCTGCGTCCCCGCGACACATTGGGCGAAGGACTGCGGCGGCGTGGTGATGTCGAATTGGAGCGGGCCATGTCAGGACCGAAGCGCTGGGGCAGGGCGTAGGCATCGCCGCCGTAGTAGGAGTCGGCGCCCATGTGCAGGCCGCGATAGCGATGCGACTCGAGGGCAGCGCCGGGAGCCTCTTCGATGACTCGAACGTAGACGACCATGTTGTTGCGGAAATTTTCATATCGCGCAATCAGGGTGTTGCCAAGCTCGTCCTCGAAGCTGACGCCTTTTGATCCGGGCGGGCCCGAGTACAAGCCGTAAAAGTTCTTGACGGTTGTGACAATCGAGTCCGTGGTATCATGAGGATAGATCTGGACTCGCATGGGCAGGCGCGCACGGTATTGGGGCGAGTCGAGGAACAGCAGCTCAAATGCGACGTTCTTGGGGCTCGGCGCCTGACGGGGCGAGACACTGCCGCCGTTTGAGGACGCCGCCGACATGCCGCCCGAGGTGTTTATGGGGGACAATGAGTTCATTTTTCTTTTCTCTTGGATTTTTCCTATCTTGTCGATAGATTTTGTGTGTTGTAGTAGTCGGCTCGGATGGAAGGGGGAGAGATGGGCGATCGAGGGTTCGTTGGAAGAAGAGTTGGGCTGGGGACGTGGTCGGACAGAAGCAGCAGCTTCAGGCAAGAGTATCGCTCGGCGAGAGGACGGGCAATTTCATCACTGGCCGAAAGCCAGGACTCGAGAAAGGGCTCTTCCGCTTCTAGATGATGATGACTGATGAGGCAATGTCCAAACTTCATCAACCATCCAGGCTATGCGGTAAGCGCCTGCTTCTTGGTCAGCTCCTGGCTGGCGCGGCGGCGGATTCGGCGGCGACGAAGACTGGCGAGAGCGGCGGCGCTCAGGGCAGGATCTGGACGGGCGAACCAGCGAGATTAGCCATGAGGATTCGCGAGAGTCTCGGAGACAAAGGCTTGCACACAAGAGCTGGGCGAGAGATGGCGCAGCTCTCGGACGGGGGAAGCGGGTTGGGGGAAGAGGAAAAAAGCTTCTGTGAACCACGGCGCTGGGCACGCAAAGGAACGGGCTGGGTGGGATGAGGTGCGAATCCAAGGGACAGGGGCGTGCTGGAGGCCCGAATTCAGGGCAGAGGCATGATCGCGCACGACGACAGAGGCGATGGGAACTCACCAGAGGGATTCAGGAGTGGTTTGCAAAGCTGTTGCTGTGAGGCCAAGTTGGTAGAATGTGTGCATGGGGAAAAGAGGAGCTGCTAGGCGAGGTCGAACGATGGATTTTGTCGCTGGCCGGCCTTGGGCTCACCAACACGGCGAGTCCTGCTGTCGCCGGCTGCTGGCAGCGCCTTGCAGCGCCTGTGGTGCGGCGGCCTGGTGGGCGCTGAGGGCGCTGGAGGGCCGGGCGGCGCAGGCCTGGACAGCGCTGGAGCCGCTGGAGCACGTATCGACGGTTAGCGGGCTTGGTAGTGCGGTCGACGGGACGCCCCAGAAGCGCCATGCATCATCGAGTCGCATCGATTCAGTCCACCCGGCTTCTGTTCGCCGTCTCGTCCCCTTTGCGCCTGATCGGACCAAGAGCCTCGTCCGTCTCGAGTATCTACGCTGATACGACTATCCATCATCGGTCGGCCTTCTGCCAGCGGACATTCTCGAAAATCGGGACATGGGCTGCTCCTCAGGATACAGCGGCCGTTCTCTGCTGTGATCTACGGACGGCGCAAACAAGCCGCGCCGGATGATGCAGAGCCCGCCCACCTCCAGCCTCCAGCCTGCGACTCCGATCTTGCCCTCGCATCGCGCACATTTTCTACGAGTACAGATACGATTATACCTGCTTGGCTTATCCGTGCGGCCAAAAGAGCTGAAAGGGAGAGACAAACTAACGTATCCGTCAGAAAAAGGCAACCTCCTCCGCGGGTGCCTCAGGTATTGTGCCCAGTCTTAGTCGCGGTTGCATGTGCATACATACAGACATGGCCCTGCCCTACCTTACACGTACGTATTCGGCATTCAAGTTGGCGATATTGATCTGCTGCGTCTATACACCCAGGATGGAATTGTCTTTATATTTATGAATCAATCGACTTGGTACTACCTGCTCGGCTGTCTCGAGGCAATGGTTTCGACGGCTGAAGCAACAGCCAAGCCAGCGCCTCTCTCTCGTCTCAACAAAGGCACAGAGAAAGTTCCATCCACGGCCGCAGCCACACGAGCCGCCAGCCAAGCCAACCGGCCTATAACACCACCGCATCTCCAAACCCTCGAAATCCTTCGTCAGGCACCACAGCAGATGCTTAGGGCAGCATACATTCACACATACATACATGCTGGTACATACATACATGTCGACGGTCATATCTCTGCTTGGGTCTTGGCCAATCCCTTTCCTGCAGCACAGTACGCACACGCGAGGGGCCAGGCGGCAGCCTCGCTCAACTACTGTGCCGGCCCACGGATTCGCACACGGCCAGCGTTGGGGACCACAGTCTCAGGCCTTCTCGCAATGCCGCGAAGAGGGTCGGAGTCAAAGGGGAACTGGCGCTGAGGCGATGGCAACGCAGGGCCGGAAAGGGCATAGGCTTGCAGAGACCGCTCGTTTGGCCCGTTTGACCCGTCACCAACTCATCAACGTCCCTAGTCTGGTGACCCCGTCGGCCATTTTCGCGTAGTAGCATCATCTATTATTATGGAGTTGTTCGTTGTCAAACTCAGCCAGAGGGGCCCACACGGACAGCGAAGGCGACGCCACCAGCCCCTCATGGGCTGCGATCCCACGATGTGGCCGGCAACTGACATGCAGAGTGTGTCGAGCTACAGTCATGCTCGTTAGGTCCTTGGGTGGTGATGGTACGGGGGGCAGGAGTAGTGATACATGTTGGTATGACTGCTGGTATCGAAAGGAGAGACAGACAAAGAAAGGCTGATGTGTGCGTTCGTGCCGTTTCTGTCCCGTCTCTGTCCTGCTCTGCTCAGCTCAGCTCAGCTCTGGCCAGTGTCACAAGTTGGTTGATACCGGATGGTGGTTGGTAGGAGGGCATATCAAGGTACATGCGCATTACATGTACAGACAGGCTGTATCGCATCACGGTCATGTCTCCCCTCGCTCTCCAATGGCTGAGATGTGACATTAGGCATGCGCAATTCCAAGTTCGAAAGCTGCAGGACGCTGGGCGTGCGTGTGCAGACGTGCGTCCATGCGGCCTGGCGTTGATTGATTGATTGACTGCGATTGATTGATCCGCCACCCTCTCCGCACCACTGCTGCTGGCCCGGCAGACAAACATCCATCCTCGTGCTTTTCTTGTACAGCAAAATGGCCAGGGTCCCAGGCCAGGGCTCCGCGAGAAGCGCATTCCGACGACGCCCATGGGCTGGGCTGGGCTGGCCTACGTAGGTTGTCGATAGCTGGGGCGGGACAAGGCACAATCTAGGATTCTCTCGCAGACAAAGAGCGACGGGATCGTCTGTTTCTGATGTATTCTTCGACCCTCGGGCGGAAAAAAAGAGGAGCTAAAGGAGAGGGAGAACCGAGCTGTGCTGGACCGTCACCTCCGGCCATGGGTGAGCGAGGCTGCTTTGCTAGTCTCCAAGCATCCCAAGTTCACCTTGAGGGCCTCTGCATCTACCGCCACTTGGTAGGTGTACGCAGCACTGTTGGTATGTAGCAGCAACTTGGTCAGAAAGTCAACGAGCGAGACGAGCGCTGGGTGCTAAATTTACCTCCAATATTATTCCCCGAGGGCTGCTGATGGCCAATGGCACCGCACCAGATGCCGGCCCAGAGGCGCCCGCTTTCCCTTGCTGCAGGGATCCTCAACAGCAGGCAAAAGCAAAAAGTGTGTGGGCTCCAGCAGGAGAAGAGAACGAGGTGGGGATCCCAGTCTTTGTGTGTGAGGCGGTAGCGGCAAAGGGCTGGGCCAAGAAGCAAAAGATGCTGGTTGTGATAGGGTGATGGACATAGGGTCCTGGGTTGCGTTGTAATAGGCCGGTTGACTCGAGCGAAGCATGAGCAGAGGCCCCCTCGAGACGACGGCTATCGATTCAGGCCTGCATCGCTACGGCATGACTGCCTGCTTGATGCATTGAATCTGTACTGTACTCATGCCTCGTACTTACTCGTGCGACTTCTGCTTCACCTCCTAGGCAAGAATAGGTTCGAGCCGTGATTTAGTGTGCTGCCGGGGCTCGGCACCGCTTGGGTCCCTGGGCAAGACAAAAGGGACAGAGTTGAGAATGAGACGACCGAGAACAGGTGGTTCAGCCTGCAACGTTTGAGCCATCAAGGCACTCAATCAATCAATCAATCAATCAATCACTTCGTAAGACGCTGCTTGCTTCTTCTGGTGCTCTGTGCAGAGAAACATTTGTAGAGTACAAGCAGCTGTGTCGTCTCGGGCCCTCGCATTTGCTTCTCCTTTCCATCGCCGTCATTATCCCACCGCAAAATTCGATCAAAGCAAAAGAGAGTGGTGTGCCTGGCAACCCCTCGGTCACCAAGCCCTTTTCTCCTCCTCGTTGCAAGATCGGCCCAAACTCTCCTCCAACGGGGAAGAAGAAGAGGAGGAGGGGGAAAAACAAGGGAAAGCTAAAGAGCAGCCGTCCAATGTTTGCTCCATCTCCGTGGCCCGTCAATTGTCAGCCTCTGGTTGGATCACCCGCTGCGCTGGGGGAAAAGGCGAGAATCGCGGCCAGTGGTATTATGCGTGGCTTGGCTAACACACCAGGCTACTGTTCGAGTTTCTTGTCCCCTTTTTTTGATCTTAAACGTGCTCTTTTCCTCTCGTTTCTTCCTTGCTTCTCTTGCTTCTCTTGCGCCTCTCCCCTCCCAATTCCCCCCCTCTTCGGCCTTTACTCTTTCGAGACCCTCTAATTCGGGGAGGGGTGTTCACCAAGGGAAGAGGAAGAGAAAAGAAAAAGAAAATAAGAAATGGGAATCAAAGGACGGCAGAGGACAGGACAGCTGCTTCGTGCTTCGTACAGATGCGTCCAATCCAATCGTCTCCCGTGGCACAAGCTGCTTGCCGCTAGGTCGCAGACCATGTCTTCTCCTATGGGTCCCCGGGTTTCAGTGTCCAGTCGGAGAGGATTCTGTAGGCTTCTCTGGCTTGCGAGGCGTCCACATATTATCCTCCAAGGCCGCTTCGTGCGTGTGCTCGGAAGCTCGTTGGGTTAGCATCGAGAGTCGGGCAGCACGCAGGCAGGCAGGCGTCCGTGCTGGGACTGGCAGTGTTATTCTGCAACCGGCGTGCATTCTGTCTCGCCATTGCCTTCATGTTCCTCTCTCTATCCATCTCCCTTGCTTCTTCCTATTAGTCTTTGGTGCTTTTTCGCAGCAGCAAGATCACTGCTGACAGTCCTGAGATTGCTGAGCGTCTGGTTGCCTATCTGCACGGCTGGCTGCTCCAAAAAGGCAGAACCGGTGTTCGAGCGTCATCTCTTGAAGATCGCTCTCGCGCAGACTCGATGCGAATACACTCACCAGGCGTCCCAAGGATGCCAATCCGTACTGTGG